CAGAAATCATTCTAATATGCTGATTTGCTGATAAATTATTATCTATTATTATCAGTGCTCAATAAAGCCTTGGTGAGCAGAAGAGACTTCTTTAAATAACATTAAAAACTGAATTATTCCAAACGTTTGACCGCTAATGCAAAACTATACTAATTGCTTGTTTTTCCGAGTAGGATAGGAAATTTCCCCAGTTGAAGGAAGATCACTCTTATGCATCGTTCACATGATCCTCGTATGTCAGCGTAATGTCGGTTTTCCCGTAAAAAGCCATTCAAACGCAGAGTAACAGATGCTGCTACAGTGATGCTGGTCTCCATGGCGACGGGGCATGAAGTCAAGAAATAACATCATGTCATTAGCAACAATTATTTATTAATTAAATGTGCTACAGTTAGATGTTCCTTTGACAAACACATACATAAATGAACACTGAAAAGTTGCATAATGTACACATGTATCATATTTCAGTAAAAGAGCTCTTGATAAACACAGATGTGTATTTATAAAGTCACATTGCTTTATTCTGATCGAGTTTGTATGTTCATATTTTGCACAGACTGTCTAACATCCAAACTTTATTTAGGCCTTTATGAATCAAACTACACAGTGTTTAGCAGTAACTAATACAATATATAACAGAACGATGACAGCCGGGAGTCTGCTGTTGTTGATGGATTTGTGTAATAAAACAGTTTTCCGGCCATTTATTGTTCCCGTCAGCGCTGATGATCATCTATGTCTGTTCGTAATAGAACCATTTATCAGCTAGAAAAGAGAACAAAAAATATTTATTATTTCTAATGTATACACACTGTAAAAAAAATCCATCTACTTAGATTTAAAAAACTTAAGTTCAGCTGCAGTCTTAGATTTTTAAGTAGAATCGAATCAGCATCGTTTTGATTTAAAACATATTAAACTGACTTGGAAAATAGAGTTGCATCTTGTATAACTTAAAAAATGAAGTTTAAATTGTTTATATTATTTGAGAAATGAGCCATAGAACAGAATAACATTGCCTTCTTCTGAAAACTGTATTCACTTATTGTTCTATGGAATAATTGTGATATTTAAATAAATACTTGTTGGAAACCTTATTAGATTTTATTACTGATTTTACCTTTTACATTATGTCATACTCTTCTAATAAAACATATTGTTTGTGGTTCAGGATCGCTCACCTGAGCTCGGCACCGGCTCTGCAGCACCGTACGGACGAGCCTGAGAAGAGAAGGTAGATCTCACAGGATTAGACTAACAAAAAGAATCATTCTGCCAGCATTTACTCAATGAAACATAAAAAGAGGGACATTACTGACATGCTTTAGACAAGTTGAGAAACTTAAAGCAATAGTTGTGCAAAAATGCACTCACTCTCAGGTCATCCGAGATCAGGATGAGTTTGTTTCTTCATCAGTTATTGTGATGTTTTTATCAGCTGTTTGGACTCTCATTCTGACGGCACCCATTCACTGCAGAGCATCCATTGCTGAGACACTGATGCAATGCTACATTTCTACAAACCTGATGAAGAAACAAACTCATCCTAATCTCGGATGGCCTGAGGGTGAGAACATTTTCAGCAAGTTGTCATTTTCACTATTCATTTAAGCACATAAGGAGTGACTTCAGGGAAGTATTGCATGAGTTGTGTGGACTACTTAATGAGACCTTAATTATGCGTTTTGACGTTGACAGCTCCGGCTTCTGGGTGAGCAAATGACTAAAGTTTAATTTTCGGATGAAAGTTTAATGCTTTTAGTTGAAGTGTAATCAAACTCTCACCACACTATTCAATCAAAGTCATCTTTAAACAATTTGCAGTTGCATGAATGACTACTGAATCCAAACAGAGCCCTGGTATTACTTGAGAAGAATGCATTTAGAGGTTCATCATGCTCAGAAGGCTTGGGCTTCACCGGCGGAGCAGCAGAAGGGACTGTCGGAGACGCAGGTGCTCATACTGACGGATGGACATTTTCAGACACAAGCGTAACATTAGAAATCAAGTCAAAGCTACATTTCATTCAGTCTAGAGTCACTGAAGGTGATGCGAACTAAACAAACCCAGACGATCAGCTGTTGATATCTAATATCTTTTCCCAAATCTGCCATCTGAACACCATCAGAAACACGATTTTCAATCCGAGCGTGACCATAAAGGCCTATGCAGGCATGTGTAGAGATCAGATGCTTGTGAAAGGTAAATGTGTGGCTGCATATTTCATTCTGATTACCTGTTGCATGAAGCTGAAACAGCCAATAGCAATAAATAAGTTCAAGAGGAGTGCATATGCTCTCAACTGAATAATAACGTCATGTTTGGCCCTGAAGGGCTCCCTATGTAGACAGCACACTAGCTAGTGTGCTGTCTACATAGGGAGCCCTTCAGGGCCAAACATGACGTTATTATTCAGTATAGGTTACCTATAGGTTTTGCATTCATGCTGCTGTCAGGAGTTTAATTTTCAGTTTGAATTTAATCAGGCTGCTTTTAAACTCTTGCCACGGGTTAATTTTTCCCTGAGGGTTAAAGGTTTGACATATTGCATGAATTATATTTGACAGAAATGCATGGATTGAAGTATTTTATATTGTAACGGTGCTAAAGCTGTGCTGGATGATGAGTTTTATGAAAACAGACTGTTTATGATTACTAATATAGAGAGTGAAAGATGAAATCGGGTTTTTACTCAAATAAAAAACATTTTACAAAATATATGTGCTAATTTTAAAAGCATTTAAAAAGAAAAATTTGGTATATTTACTAAAACTAAATATTTTAAAACTTTTAAGAAAATATATAGTATATTTATGATTTTTTTAAACACTTAAAAAATAAAAAAATATTTAGCATATTTACTAAAAATAAACACTTTAAAACATTTGTAAAAAGATATAGTATATTTGCTCATTTAAAAAAAAATACTGCTATATAGACATTTTCAAGCTGAAATCGGGTTTTACTAAAAATAATAATTTTAAAACATTTAAAAATATATATAGGCTACTATATATCCCATTTTTGAAGCATTTTAAAATATATTGTAACGGTGCTAAAGCTGTGCTGGATGATGAGTTTTATGAAAACAGACTGTTTATGATTACTAATATAGAGAGTGAAAGATGAAATCGGGTTTTTACTCAAATAAAAAACATTTTACAAAATATATGTGCTAATTTTAAAAGCATTTAAAAAGAAAAATTTGGTATATTTACTAAAACTAAATATTTTAAAACTTTTAAGAAAATATATAGTATATTTATGATTTTTTTAAACACTTAAAAAATAAAAAAATATTTAGCATATTTACTAAAAATAAACACTTTAAAACATTTGTAAAAAGATATAGTATATTTGCTCATTTAAAAAAAAATACTGCTATATAGACATTTTCAAGCTGAAATCGGGTTTTACTAAAAATAATAATTTTCAAACATTTAAGAAAATATATATACTAAATAAAAATGATTTAGTATATACTGAAAATAAACATTATAAAATGTTTAAGAAAATATATAGTATGCTTCTGATTTTTTTAGTGTACTTAAAAATGATTTATACAAAAAATTATCATTTTAAAACATTTAAGATTATTTATAATCTATTTAAATTTATAATCTATTTATATTTACTTATTTTTAAAGCATTAAAAAATAAAAATGATTTAGTATATATACTAATCATTTAAGAAAATATATAGTATGTTTAGGATATTTAAAGCACTAAAAATAAAAATGACTCAGTATATTTAATAAAAATAAACACTTTAAAACATTTGTAAAAAGATATAGTATATCTGCTAATTAAAATCTTTTTGCTTATGATTACTACTATATGGACATTTTTGAGTTGAAATCGGGTTTTACTAAAAATAATCATTTTAAAACATTTAAGAAAATATATTAACTTTTTTAAGTATTTAAAATAAAAATGATTTAGTATATATACTAAAAATAAACGTTTTAAAACATTTAAGAAAATATGAAGTATATTTATAATTTTTTAGAACACTTAAAATAAAAATGATTCAGTATATTTAATAAAAATAATCACTTTAAAACATTTGTTAAAAGATATCGTATATAGGTTAATTCTATATAGACATTTTCGAGCTGAAATCAGGTTTTACTAAAAAATAATCATATTAAAACATTTATGAAAATATACAGTATATTTATGAATCTTTTAAAGCACTTGATTTGTCACACAGATCTGGCAACCCTGATTTCTGTCTTTCTGTTGGATCATGTGCATGTTTTAGAGCAACATCACAGACTCTGAGAAGTGACTGTCATCTAAGGCCTCTCTGTGTGGATCATCAGGAGTTTGAACTGAAGCTTTCTATATATAATAAAAATTATAATTTTAAAACAAAATTTAAAAAATATAGTATGTTTACAATTTTTGTAACATTTAAAAGAAAAATTATTTAGAATATTTACTAAAAGTATTTTAAAACATTAAAATATTTTAAAAAAAGGGTATATTATGTTAATTTAAAAAATCTTAAAATAAAAATAGATACAGTATTTTTATCAAAATGTGTTTTTTAACATTTAAAAATAAGAAAGATAAATTTACAGCAGCATTTTAAAACAATAAAATAAAACTATTTTTGCATTCTCTAAAGAGAATGTCATGTTCTCAGTGGTTGCCAGGGAATTGCAATGCGGTTTCTAATTGTTCTGACTAAACAAACAGCAGCAATGCATCTTTTCTTCAGTGATGTGTTTCGTGGCGTTTTAAATACGACCTTCTGAATGTTTAGCAGCTCGTAGTTTGGAACAGTTTTGAGATCAGGGGCGGGTTGCATAAACTGCTTAGACTAGTCTTAAAAAGTTAGTCATCTAATTTCTTTTCTTCAAGACTGGTCATAACTTTTTAAAGTCAGTTACAAAAAGGTAGATTGGTCTAATGTGAGTCCAAAAAGTAAGACTGATTACCCCTTGACTAACTGCTAGTTGGTCTAACTAGTTGGTAAGACACAGTCTTAACAGTGTCTATGTTTATGCAACTGGCCCCTGATCTCAGATCTGTGAGAATGTCGAGTAATTTAATCATTGACACGATCACCTCTTGAAAAAGCTATTTTGAAAATGACATGCTTGGATCCTCTTGCCTTCGAGACATCTTCATTACTAGCCGTCAGGCAGAAGTCATTACTCAAATCTCGGCTTTCATTTAAGCGGCGGCTCTATTTACCCTGTTCTTAAATTCAGCATTGAAGGCAAACTGGTTTTCCGGCTTCCCGTCTGGCACTTTATACATCCGGAACCAGACGAGTGTGGCCTGCAGGAATCCGGGCTTCAGTCTGCGGACGTCCTGGATATCTGCGAGAGACAGAAGACGCTGAGATGGACCCTCGTGCTCATCACAAACGCTGAAGCTAAAGCTCTCAGACCGTTGAAGTCTTCAGCCTCGGGGTCCTCCACGTTTATCACGATCACTTTCCAGTCGGTTTCTCCTTCGTCGATCAGAGCCAGAGTCCCCAACACCTTCACACGGATGACTTCTCCTCGAGAGCAGACCTGATGCAAACACACGTGAAGAACACGCTCAACACGCTTACAGACCAGAGGAACCCCTCGGCCTTCCAGGAGAGATTCTTGGAATCATTTGATTCAGAATGATTCACAAATGAATCGCTCGGATCAAAGTGTGAAGCAGTTCGAACAAATCGTTAAAAGCAACCGACTCAAAAGAATGATTTGCTCACAATTCAGAATTTAACTTTTACTCTACAAAAGATCAGTTCCCAGCTGGTGAAATAAATAATAAAATATAAAACATAATAAATTGGGTGTGTACATATATATATATGTATACACATTGCTAAAAAAAAAAAAATTATATATATAAT